CACTTGCTGCCTAAAGGATCCTCACCTCCTGGACTGCTTCTTCTTAAATAAGCACCTATCCCTGCACGGTGAAGTGCAAGTGCCTGGCAATGATGCCGTGTGTCTGCCCCTTCCACAAGGCAGCAGGAACTTGAAAAATTCCACACTCCTGTGGCAGGAAGGATTTTACATCCTTAATTGCACCCAGTGGTGGGAATGACAAGACTTGCCTTGGCGGCTTGTCCCATCGCCACTTCTAGCAACAGCCCCACGACCACCGACCTTGTGCGCCCGCCCCATGACAGAGGCTCTGTGCTCTCGCCGCGCTGATAAAAACGCCAGGGGTCTGTGGGAAACCCCCCAGGCCTCCCCCTTGGCTGCTGGCCCCACTCCTGCTCCCCGCCGGCTGCACGGGCTGCGTGCAGAGTGCCCTGCGCGGCCCATCCCTGCGGGGTGGCCCTCAGCGCGTGCCGCAGGGCAGCTCTGCCCTGCAGCCTCCTCACCAGAGCCCTCTCCACTGCCCTCCCGACTGCTCGGCAGGAGACACCAAGCCCAACACCCCCGGGCTGCTGCTTAGTGGGTCCCACATTGACGTGCTGCAGAGTCAGAGCTCCCACTCACTCAGCCACGGCACCAAACACTGTCATTCCCATTAACCTAGTTACACCATGGAGCTTGAGCGTTCCAGTTCTGCTCGTCCTCTGAACTGATGCCGACACAGTGGGYCGCAAAGAGGGAAAGGCCGTGTCCCAAGGACACCCCAGCTAAGGCTACACAGGACCTGAGGACAGGGCCGCCGTGAYGGACGGGTCAGTGGGGGTCTCTGAGGCTGCCTGCAGCCCGCCGGCTCCCATGGGTGCCACCGGTGTCTGTCCCCGTGCGCTCCCAGAAGAGCCTCCCGGGGAGGCAGCTCTGCTCCAGCGCAGGGCCACACTGGCCCAGGCCACGCCGAGCGTGGCTCACCTGGGGCCACCATGAACCCTCAGCTCAGGAGAATAAACCCAACGCAGAATAAGCCCTGCCTATCGAGAAGCGTTAGCTGCTCCAATACCAAATAGCAGGGAAGGCAACTGCTTTACTTAAATAAGGAGGCATGTATTTATTTGTATTGTAAACACCGGCCTCTCTGTGTATACTGAAGTCATGTATCAAACTGCCTGTGCTGCTTTCCCCAGTCATCTCTGAAATGCTGTTTTATTGCTTATGGCAAGGCCTGCCGAGCAATGCATTTGGTTATTATTGCAACTGAACCATACTGCATTTTTATGCACTGAGTTGCTTACATTTCACTTCCCACTGGTTAATTAGCCACAAGAAAGCAGAACTTAGTCTGCTGTGATGATGGAGCAGGCAGGCCTGCCTGGAAAGGGCACAACAGAAATTAGTATTCTCTTGTCTAACTACTGAAAGCTCTCAGCAAAGTTTTGTTGAAACTTTGTTTAGTGGAATTTGAAATGCTCAATGGCTCGACAGCTTTGTGGGAGGAAATGTGTGAGTAAAGGCAGTAGTTTCAAAGMGGCAGGTACTAAGTGCATCTACAAGCCAAATGTGGGGGCTTTTTGCATGCTCTTTGGAGCCCATGTTGCACTGCTGAAGGTCTCAATCTGGCTGCAGAGCTGGGACCTCCCTGAGATCAGCAAAGCCAATGCTGGGGACTCTCAAAAGGTAAAACAGTTCAAGTAGCCAGAGAGAGGGGAAAGTCGGGCTTTGCCAAATGGCATATTCAGATATCAATGGGGTGCCATGGGATAAATCAGGAAGGAAGTCAAAGGGATTCAGGGAATATAAACTGCAGTGCAAGTATTAAAGCTCCGGGTTTATTTCCTTGCTTTTTAAATAAAGATTTCCTACCAAGATTTGCTAACATACATCAGGAGTGAAATCCCTGCACCAGATTCCTTTCTCCAGCTCTCATGTAGAGTCAATGACTTGCAGGACTTTTCACCCTTTGATTCCTTCTTGGTCCATGACGAAGAGCAAGACTCAACCCCTTCTTGTAAAGTGCTTTAAGCTTCAGGGACAAAGTGAGCTTACAAGCATATATGCAACATGCTTGCATATGCATAGAAATAGTCACAATCATAAGGGAAAATTAAATTTWAAAAAAAACAATTGGGGAAATTCAAGAGATGGTGCAGGATAACAGTGACTTTCCTGTGCCTTGATCTGTTTGCTGGCTTCTTGAAAGCTCCTTCACCTGGGAGAGCCACTGGGCAGTCAGCTGCAGCCAGGAAAGAAGATCCAGCACATCCCAGACACTCTGATGTGCCCAGTTCAAACAGACAGATCCCGGCGTCTCTGGTGTGAGACATCCTTCCTGCAACACTGTATTTGGCCACTTCTTTCTGCCTCTTAACCTACTCATGGCTGGTAAAAAAACTATGGAGCTCGAATAGAGGGAGCTACCTTGATTCCCAGAGCATAAATATTTTTCCAGGATGCAACTGCGTCCTTGAAGTTTTCCAATTGCACTTTCGCCTTTAAATATGTTGTGTGACTTATCCCCTCTGCACTCAGCTTCCCAGAAGACTTGCTATCTAAGAGAATATGCACAGARCACAAAATCATGGCCTTTGCATGCAGAGCCCAGTCAGGTTGCATCGTGTCCAAACGCTCAGCCTGCCACTTCTCCCAATTCACGCCCCAGTACCTTAAAATAATTGCACTCCCAGGGATTGTACCAGCGCTCACTGACCAGTCCTAGCCCCGTCTCCAACCCGGCGTCTTTGGCAGGGAGCCACATACCAAGCAAACATGATGCCCAGGCAACCTGAGCGGCTTGCAGACACCCAAGCCCCCACTCAGCACTTGGAGGGCCGCGAGGGCCTGCCTGGGGCTGGGCACACCTAGCCCGCTGCATGTCCACAGACACGGCAGCCCAACCCGCATCCCCCTTTAATCACACTTATTGAAACGGGGCTGCTGTTTCTTGGTGGGAGACCTCGGAAAATCAAATCATCACCTTTGCACAGGGACTACAGACGCCAGGAATCGGGCACACCCTGCAGCCAGCCCACGTGCTGTGCGACCTCCCAGCGCTTCTGCAGTTCCTCACTATGCTCCAGACACTGCTCCTAACAAACTCAGCCTGCAGCCTGCACCGAGGAAAACTGGGAGGTGCTTTACAGGCACCTCTGGGCCACAAGGTCCCTTTCATCCCCTTTTTCCTTAGGAAGGCCACGCTGCTGCCTCTCTGCAGCCTCTGCTGCTCTCCTGGCTCCTTTCTCTGCTCTGCGGTGGCAGGTGCTTACAGACCACGCTGCAAAGCTCACAGTGGCTACCAGGCCTGGGCTGGCTACCACRCAGTGCCCCAGGCTCCCCGGGCCACTGCTGGGCAGCAAAGGACAGGACCTCAGCTCATCCCAGCGGCTCGCGGACTTCCGTCAATCCCCCAGCTCGCCCCGTTGCACTGGCACACAATGTGGAAGGCACCCGTGAAGCCCACACCCGTTCCCACTAAGGCTGTCTCTCTAAGGGGGCAGGCAGGCGGGCAGTGTACGCTGCTTTGGCCCCAGGGTTCCAGGGCAGGGTGAAACTGGTGTTTTCAGCTGTCACTCCTGCATTGCCAGCTGTGGTTCTGGGAGAAGGAAGGGCAGCACAAGCTCTGCTACAGCAAGCCTGACGCAGGCAGCAAGGGCAGAGGAGCAGCTGAAGCGCTGGTGCAGCAGCACTCGCATCAGGAATGTTTCCCCAAGCGACTCTCCTGCGTGCGCGAGCAAGAGTAGGGCGGCGTGGGCCGAGGCACCGAGCAGGGGCAGGCGGGCACAGCTCCCCACTGCGCTGCTCCGCGCCTCCCAGGCCCCAGGCGCCCCGGCGGAGCAGCTCACAGCCCCCTCCCCGTGAGAACCACAGCAAAAAAGCTCTCACTATGCTGCCCGGGCACCGACACTGCTGCCACATGGGGAGCAGGAAGCAAATCCTGACACCTCACCTTTTAGTAAGAAGATGCTGTTTCAGCTCTAGTCTGGTTACTCCAAACACTGCCAGGGTTATGTTGCCAGCACTCCTGGGGGTGCACCACGCTCCTGGACAAGTCTGGCTTACCGTGGGCTCCATGTGGTCATGCTTGCCCTGCTCTAATGCCTAACCCATGTGGGCTAACGTTGCCTTAGGTAACACAGCGGCATCACCAGCCTGCAAGTGGATACCCCAAAGACAACGTGCCCCGTACCCGGCACTCTTGAGATCCCTAAATCCTTTTCCTTTGCTCTGGTGTGTCTGTGGGCAAACGCTGACTCTAACCGCAACTTTTCTGCTTTCATAATAGAGTGAAGCAGAGCAAGAAGCCCACAAAGAAAAGAATAAAAATAAAAAAGAGAATCAGTCATGAGAGCAGCTGTAACTTTGTAAGCTGATGACTTACATATGGAGATCCAGGAAGGTCTGAGAAGCAGCACAGAGAAACCAGCCCGCACTAACGTTACAGTGGCTTCTCACTCACCCAAGCTGCAGCTCTGCGTCCTCAGCGCCCGGTGCTTGCGAGGAGCCCAGGACGGTGCTCCCGCGCCGCTCGCCGAGGGCCTCGCCGCCGCTCTCCTGCGGGACGGAGCCCCTGCGCTGCACGGCCAGGCCGGGCAGGCTGCTGTGCCGCGGCCACGCTTGGTCCTGTGCTTCGTCCCGCGCTTCGTCCCGCGCTTGGTCCTGCGCTTCGTCCCACGCTTCGTCCCACGCTTGGTCCTGCACTTGGTCCTGCGCCACGGGGCTGCCCGGCGCCGGCCCGTCCTCTCCGCCGCGCTGCCCCGGCGCGCGCTCCTCCTGCCCCTGCGCCCTCCGCGTGCCCGGCGCCACGGCCAGATGTTCAGCCCCTCGGCGCGCGCCGTCACTGGGCGTCTCGCCGTCCTGCTGCTGTCTCTGGGCAGGCTCGGCGCTGCGCAAGGGGCCGCCTCTCGGGCTGGCAGGCTCCGAGGGCTCGCTGAGCTGCTCGCTTCCATTGTTACCGGCTAACACAGCGACCTCGGAGCCCGAGGAATGCAACTCATTATGGTCTGCAGAAGTTAATGGAAAGTGAATGTTCTCAGTCATATTCTGCTTCTTCTCACAGCGCTCAGGGGTTTCTTTCCCCTTGGTTAATTCAGGCTTGGTATTATCTGCAACAGGAAAGAAACAGAGAGACACGAGCATCTGCAAGGGTTGTCAGAAAGGCATTTGTTGATAGCAGCTCAAAAAGGCAACAGCTTAAAGCAGAAAAAGGCCACCATGCCTCAGGCCAGCACAACTTGGTACTGGGAGCAGCAAGTAATTGGCAGAGTGGGTAGGAAAACGCGCCCCTCGCTCCATCCCCACCACAGAAGCAGGGAAAGAGGCGGGTGACCTGCCGTCAAAAACTGCACCTCCCTGCACAGGGACCTGTTTGCCGGAGTGGGGAAAAGGAACAAGATATTTTTTAACACTTCTAAGTGCCTATGATGTGCCAACCTGTTTGAATCTTCCTGCTGTAACAGCTTCCTCCCTGCCAGGGTAACATTTTTTCTTAACACAAAAATACTCCCGAAGCGTGTCATTAGTTGATGGTTAAGACTCTGGAAAATGTGTCCTTTCTGAATATCCCATGAGAGGCTCTCTTGGTAGGACAAYGGAAGGACACTGTATTGCACCAGACACACGAGACATACAGCTTTTTGATGAAAAGAGACACCTTGCTTTTGAGCATGGTCATTGATGCAAATGCTGACAACCTTGCAAGCACCATCCTCAGTCATGGGCTGTGGCCCTGTAGTGCCATGCAAGCTTTTCTCCACTGTAATCCCTGCGACTAAAATCAGGCAACCAYAGCACCATCAGAAATGACCTGTGGAAGCACTGGGGCATGGTAACAGATGACTGTCTTAAAAGACAGTGGATGTCTTTGAGCAGCGAGCATGGCTAGTCAGTTAGGGCAAACCTGGATTTTGTTCCTACCTCATGTCTCAAGCAGACCCATTTAAATGTCTCTGTAAATTGGGGACATGTCACCTCCGAGGGGCTGTGGAGGTGCCCAAGTGTTTGCAAGCGGGCGCTCTGGCTTGCTGAGCCCCAGCTCTCATTAGCAGTAAAATCATTCCCTGCTCATTCAGCACTGGTTCTTGGTAACACAAGGTGCTGGGCATCAGTTGCTGCCACCCTCACACCTCCTTGCCCTGTGGAGACAGGAACATGCCAGCGGTCTATCCCACTGCCTCCAGTTTTTCGGCAGCTGGGCAAGGGGCAAGGGAGAGGTGGGATTTGAACCCATCTACCTCTCTGTGACCTGGTTATGGACAGATCCATGCAGATTCAGGCTGAGATGCTGGCTGATCAGGACTTATCCAGGTGGGAAGCCCAGTTCCAGAGCTGACTTTACCCCACAACCACAGAACAAGCAAAGCCCAACCTGAGCCCAGGATCTGTCCCCCTCGCTGTGTCCTGTGCCCYACAGCTGGGAGATGCACTGGGCTTGCAAGGTCCGAGCTCTGCACAGGACAGTCCTGCAGGAAAACACTCAAGGTTGTACATGGCACAGACAAGAGCCGGGGCAGACCCCTCTTTGAGACAACACAGGCAGTTTTACCTSTTCTCCACGTGTATCAGCAAGCATCCCCCACAGCACAGTCAATGCAGCATCGCTGCGAGCAGCCTGGCTCCTCCCAGAGACGCACAACCAACCTGCCTGCAGCAAGGGACCAGAGAAAGCGAGAAACGGTCAGAGAACAGAACCCCACCGAGCTTCCGTCACCCTGGTGCTCATTCATCTCAAGCTCTTTTCCAGAACCATCCTGTGGCTGCTGCTTGGAAGATAGTACTGATGGTCTGTTCCTCTGTTATTCTCAAAGGAAAGGCCTACATACATCCGATCCACTGCATCCAGGACAGAAAACCAGACCCAAGCACTTGGCTTTCCTGTGCACCAAGCGCAGACTCAAGCCAATGCAATATCATCAAGGAATTTTCCTGCAAAATTAACAAGACTTTCCTGAACATGACCACACTGCAATCTTGGCTTATGCTAAAAACCTAATATGGCCAAATTTAATCACTTTCCCATGGCAGGGGCGTAATTCAGACTTGCAACACAGTGCCAAAGTCCCAGTCTTTGGAGAAACTTCTCCAGCACACCGTGATTGGCCATGGCTTAATGTAAGCTGAATAACGTAGGCTTGCTTTTCTGTGTGTATTTTTTTTCCAAATCTAATTTTTTTAAATCAGCCAAATTGTTTAGCTTGACATTCCCCTCCGCCCAGCAACTCATCCCAAAACTTCAGTAGGAACCAGACACCATCCAAGCTAAGTTCTGGTCAAACAGTTAACGCTTAACACAGCAATCTGCAACCAAAAACCAGGAAGCTAAACGCAGCTGGGAGATGGGGCTGCGCAATGAGAAATGTTAGCAAACTTTAATAACTGTGAACATTCCCCCTCCCTCCTAAATGTAATCTGCTTATTAATATTAGTATCAATAAAACACTATTGTTATGATGGAGCATAACGTACCACATTAYGCTTAAAATGTTTTAGTGTCTGTGGAGTCTAACTGGAACATTCACGGCTTGGAAGAGGCACTGAGGAGTCGGTTTGCTGCTGCTAATCCCTTAGGCATGTTTTTCCTTGGCCTGGATTTCCGCCTGAGAAGAGATCCCAAGGCAGCCCAGGGAGAATGCATGAACGGACTGTCACCGAGCCAGTAAGACCAGGAGCCCTCAGCCTCCGTTGCACTGGTTTTAGCAGAGCCAGAAGCAGGGGTCTCTTGCAGCCACCGACTCCCTTTGAGATGTGTCCATTTCCATTGCACATACAAAGATGGAAGGTGTCATGGGCAGCTGAAGCCTACTGGCACCCATGAGCACATCGACCCACGGCAAATTACCCAGCAAGTCACTAACCGCTAGATCTGTGCTTGCAGCAATGGCCATTTGAAACACGCTCAGGTTAGGGGTGACCGAGGCCTCCCAGACGAACGGCTGCAGGGTCCCAGCCCCTGGCTCAGCTCCCGGCTGCCCACGGCAACATGGGCAGAAGGTCGGGCAATCAGCTTCCCACAGCCAGGCCTGGACGTCCCGCGAGAGCTTCACAGCATCTCTCCTGCTCTATGACCCAGTGAGCTGCTTACATGTTGCAAGACTCACCTGTCTAATCTGAGCCTCCCCTGGCTGGGTTGGGTGCACGGACAAAGGGAAGAGGGATAGTCCTGAGGTGCCACAACGTGGATGTGGAGAAGGAGCAAGGAGAGCAGAGAGGCTGGAYGGGGTGTAAATCCAGGTGGAAGTACCTATTGCTATCAGTATGACTGCCCACGTCTGTCTCTGGTCTAGCTGAAGGTCACCACTACCGTGCTTGCTACCTCTGACCCAAACTAGTCATATCTTCAACCAGGCCATTGGATGAGCACACACCACAGCATCTTGTGGGGCTGGAACTCCAACAGCTCCTTTCCATCACCCCAAARCCAGACAGGAAGAAGGGCTGGTCCACGGTTTCTATTGCAAACTGATGTTCCCCATGTCCGTGCTTGTTTCTTCTTGGTTCTGCTCTGCAAACCACATTGGCTGAAGGCTGCAGATRAGGGCTAGAGAGTGATCTGAGTTTCCAACAATGGATTTTCACATCACTGCCATACCTGTCCTTCCTGCAGACTCAGGCAACCCTTAACTGTTTCTTTCCTAGGCCCTGACATCAGTACATGGGTATTCCATGTGTACCAGTACATGAGCATCCCACAGACATGTCCATGGTTTCCAGCCTCCAGTAAACAGTGTAGTTTAGCACGCAAAGGGGCTGCCAATGGAAGCCAGTGACCTTGTGTACACCCTCGGCAGGGCTGCTCATGCCGAAGGCTACTGCAGCTCTGCAGAGACACACTCGCTCAGCTGCAGTTCCTTGACTGGTGTCTGAGTCCTTCTGCAGAGAAAAGCATCTCAGAGCAAAGGCTGCCTCATGATTCTGCATTACATTTTACTATCATAACCTCTTTAATATTTATTTATTGTATTAAAGATGTTAACGACAACATTACTTACTTCAATAAACGGCGTGTTAATGTGGAGGCACCCTTCTCAGTAAATTTATCTGTACTTTGTATGGGCCCAGCAATGAGTAAGACTCAAACTCTACCAGACAGAGGGAATAAGGATGCACCCATCTATCCTGCAGGCACAGACAAGCTCTGCAGAGTTCCCATAAGCCAGGGCTACATGGATTTGCACAGCGAAAGAGGCTCCTACCACTGTAGGATTGTGGTTCAAAACACATCAAAGCCAAGGGCAGCAGAGGAACCTATTTTTAACCCGGAGCTTATTCCTGCCTCCTCTGCASTGCTAGGATCTGGTGCTTCCACTGCAAGACAGGAGAGGCAAAACGGACCGGGCTTCCACCCGCTGCAGCCCGTCGTGCTACGCTCCCCGGCAGGKGCGATCCAAGTAAGCCGCCTGCAGCCACATGAACCACACGTCGAGTTTACCTGAGTCCTGACAGCATCAGCCCACGGGTGCCACACRCCTGCAAGCACGAGGGACGCTGCCGGGTGTCTGTACAGCACGTGCGCAGCGGGGACAAAGGCAGACCTGGGGAGGGCCACCTACCAGAGCACCCACGGGAGCGCAGGCCACTCACGCAGCGCCCACCCCGTGCGAGCCGCTGGGGCGCCAACGGGGCGCTGCGCAGGGCGAGGAGGAGGCCACGGCCCGCCCCGGGTTTTGAGGCGTTCCCTCATGGTCATTCGAGGTCGCTCTGGCCTACTTAAAGGCCACGGTTGGATCTGCAGTTGCGGCGGTGAAGCCGGGCTGGCATCCACGGCAGGAAAGTCCCGGCCTCGAAAAGGCTGGGCAGAAATGAAGCAAAGTTTGTCCAGATTGTGTGAGGGGTTGGAAACCACACAGCAGCTCTTTCAGGGACTGGCTCTGGAAGGCTCCCAGCTTTTATTGAAGCTGAATGGCTGGTGGGAAATGGTTTATTTTTAATTTTCTTCCCTGTGTTGGGAACTGGAAAGGCTCCCATTTTGGCTTTGTGTAACTGCTTGGCTGCTGCAATACAAAAAAGCTTGGAAAAATTCCTGCTGCTTGTTTGAGCACCAACGTTTCCTCACCCTGAGTTGGGCTCTTTGGAGCGCTGCAGTCTTGCTTTGCCTTGGTGCTCAGGG